TCCACCGCTCCCATGTTTTCTTTTGTGTTGCCATAAGTTAGTCTCTCTGCATTTGTGCGCTGGGCTAATGCTAATAATGCTAATGCGAGGATAATAAAATGGCGGCTTCACAAAACTTTTTGGGAGTTTTACGGGGCGTGGCTTGCAATCCGCCCAGCCAATCAGACATAGGAACCTTTTTCTCCCACGAAAGTACCTGCTCTCTAGCAGGGACAGAAAACTGACAGAAAAGGGGGTAAAAAGGTTCTCATTAACTCATTTTAGTTCCGGCTCTTTTTGGTGTGAACGCAACATTTCGGAACTATATCGGAACTAAAGTGGGAAAAGTACTGCGGTGTGAACGTGCCTATAGAGAGCACTTAAGTACTGAGTGGATTTTATAAAGTCGAAGTCATAAGCTATGCATAAAAAAGGTACTATTCTTAGGTACAAATACGTATTGTTATAATGTTGAATCATAACATTTGTTGAAATGCCTGTGATTAGCTCAGTGACATGCTTATTTAATCTCCCTGTGGTTGTGTTATTACAGGTGAAGCCCAACACAGCGCCCACCCCGCCTCGTCCCACTCCCCCCAGCCCCGTGCTTCTGCAGCACCCCGGGGGGCAGGGACCCCTGTACAACACCCCCTACCTCTCCTATGTGTCACAGATCCACCCTGTGCAGGTACTTGAGAAAATTATAAATTAATATTCTTTATTTGTTTAGGTCTACAGCTAACGTTTATTTCTGTCACTTTCTCATTTTGTCTATAAAAGTACAAATAAAATGCAATTTAGTTTACCAGATTCTCACACATTTAAACAGCAGGTTTTGACTACAATATTGGAAATTCAAAATATACGTTTTGCTATTATAGAATACCCAGAAAATATAAATGTTTCAGAGGCTGACATTAGAAATATTGTGGCATTTTGCTTTAAACATTTAAAAACAATTCATTGAGTATCAAAATGATAATTATTTAGTTTTGACTGACTTATCACCTGTTAAATGTTTTGGTAACAACGCAGCTTTTTCTCAATTGCCCTCTTGATTATTTCTGTCTTGCAGCCCCCACCCATGTACCAGTACACCATGTCTGCAGTCAGCCAGGGGAAATACCCCAGGACCAAAGGTAAACGCATGTTTCTCTCTCCAGATCTGTAGTTTCAATGTATAGTCTCCATTTGACAAATAAAGCTGTACTTTTTTCCCCTCAATGTTTCTGTGGTCTTAATAACTCTTTCCCCCCCGTCCCGCTGTGCAGTGGCTCAGCGCTCGGACCATGGTAACTCGGCTCCGCCCATGCTGCAGGCTGCAACCTCAGCAGCCGGGGCCCCTCTGGTGGCGTCCCCCTACCCTCAGCCCTACCTGCAGTACAACCCTCAGCAGTACAGCCAGCAGCAGGTCCTCCAGGCCATGTCCCCTTACCCCGGACAGGTTGTAAGTCTGACCTCTCATACCTTTTTTTTAATTCATGTTTAAATGGTCGGCTGAATGTTTGTTCTGAGAGCTTGTTATGCTACTGTGAATATGTTAGCACATTTCCACTTTGCTCTGACATTTAGTAAACCATTCAATGTGTTTACAAACTTATATTTATGTCTGATACAGTTTAATCTGCTGCACAGGTTGTACAAACAAAATGTTAACTGGATACAATATTACCCAACAATCACTCTGGTGACAAATACACTGTTATAAGAAGCCTCACAGTTTGGTACTCTGCCCCAGAAAATGAAGCCTTTGAACCAAAACATGTAGCATCTTCCTCAATGTATTAAAAACGGAAAAGACTGGGAGTATGGGATTAGTATTTCAATATGTGGATTTGTTCCCCCCTCTCTTCAGCCGATGTACTCCATGCTGCAAGGAGGAGCCAGGATGATAGGGCAAGGCGGTGGTCCACACCCACAAGCCATGGGCCCCCCAGGAGGCCCCCAGTTCTCTCCACAGGGAGAAGGGCCTCAGGGGCAACAGCAGGGCATTTACGGTGAGTAGAGCTCAAACGCCTAAATATCTCTAAGCAAGGGGCCTGTGCTCCAACGCTGAATGAGCCAATAGTATTCATTTATTTTTTATTTGAAGTCGTACTATACTTTGTTTTTTAAATCTGATGAGGACATTTTTAGTTTAAAGATTTTCAAAACACACTTACAGCTTATCATATGTTTGTAATTTTCATACTTTCATTAAGAGCCTCAAAAAAACATTAAGCGCTTTCACACCAAGTACTTTGCCGTACTTAGTTCATCAGAACTCTTCAGTTCTGATGAACTAAAGAGCAGATCGCGTTCACACCGGAACAAGTCCCTGAGGGAGGATTAGGCAAATGAAGCCGCTGACGTCACTTCTTCTTCTTCTGCTTTGGGTTTACTGGCAGGCCGCAAACAACTTCACGGCGTATACTGCCACCCGAAGTCCCCGGCCGGAAGTCCCCGGAGTTGGGGACTGGCTTCAGTAGAAGCTGCTGGGACTCCCAGCAGCTTCTACTGAAGCCTTCCGAGTAAATCGCCAGAACGCCGACACCTCCTCATCTCCACCGCTCCCATGTTTTCTTTTGTGTTGCCATAAGTTAGTCTCTCTGCGTTTGTGCACTGGGCTAATGCTAATGCTAATAATGCTAATGCGAGGAAAATAAAATGGCGGCTTCACAAAACCTTTTTGGAGTTTTACGGGGCGTGGCTTGCATTCCGTCCAGCCAATCAGAAATGGGAACCTTTTTCTCCCAGGAAAGTACCTGCTCTCTAGCAGGGACGGTAAAGGGGGTGAAAAGTTTCTCATGAACTAATTTCTAGTTCCGGATTTTTTTGGTGTGAACGCAACATTTCAGAACTATACTGGGAAAAGTACTGCGGTGTGAAAGCGCCTATTGAGAGTAAACGACAATATAAAGTATTTCTCTGACATTAATCATCTTTCTTATTTCCCTCTGTAGCTCAACAGTCCTTCGCCCACCACGCGGGTGCCGTTCATCAGCCCCAGCCCTCCAGCACCCCGACAGGAAACCAGCCCCCTCCCCAGCACGCTGCACAGAGCCCCGGACAGGTACAGGACACAAAATATACCGAAACACTTTTGATGTGTCCCAGCTCTGAGGGAGCATCCACCAAGTCTGGATTTCTCTATGAATGACAGAATAACTCAGGAACAAACCAGGCCCATTTAAAAAAAAAAAGGCTACATCATAATACTAGACTACAAAAATGTACATAAATGTAGACTTGATAAGGTTAAGAGATGTGGGGAGGGGTTGTCTGTTTAGCCCGGGCTTCCACCCTTCAGAGAATTCCGCCTTAGGGACATGCTATTTTCATTCATTCATCATCTCTTCTGACGTTGTGGTCTCCTTTCAGAATGCCCAGCCCGGCCCCCAGCCCCAGTCCTTGTACCACTCAGGTCCTCTGTCAGCACAGACCCCCCCCAACATGCCGCCGGGACACACGTCTCCACAGGGCTCGTACCCCATCCAGGGCTACAGCATCCACAGCCACCAGGGCATCCCACAGTCCTATCCTCTGAGCCAGTTAACACAGGTAAGGATCCTCAGTGCTGAGACTCTCGGCTCCTTTTCATGTTTTACTGCAAGTTAGTGTTCATTTAGTTAGATATTCATAATGAAATCCTGTTTCAAATGTCCACGTTTTTATACTTTTTAGTCAACTTCACCCTGTCCCAAGTGTCCCATGTCTGGCAGTTTTAGTCTTATCTTAAGCAAAGAAAACCATAACAATTTTAGTCTAGCCGATAAACGGTTATCAGATTATATTGTTCATTTGATTTCTTTCTCCCTATTGTTTTTATTGTTAACTTTAACTAAAGGAAGTTACTCATGGTCCTCCTCAACAATGTCCTTTCTCTAAAATGCTGCATTAAGGAACATCTTTGTGTCTTCTCTTGTCAACAATTGTTATTTTAGTATTGATCTTATTTTTGAACTACATTTGAGTCTTTAGACAACGTCTTGTCCTCCTTTAGTTCATAATGGGTAAAAAGGTTGTTGACGAGCGTTTTCAGTAATAAGTTTCCTTTGACCACAGCTGATCATGAGTATTTGTCGGGTAAAATGGCGTATTTTGATCTAAACATGACTCTCCTGTCCCCCAGGCCCACGTACAGGGAGCCATGGCAGGCCACCACCAGGGGAACCACGGCCAGCCCCAGTTAGTGATGCTGCAGCCCCCCCCTCAGCAGGGCCCCGGCTCCGTGCAACAGCACCCTCAGCACGGCCCCCAGCAGGGAGCACACCAACACTTTTACATCGGACATCCACAAGGTACGAGTGCAGAGCTACATCCGTCCATTCATTCATTCGTTCATTCGTTCATTCATTCTCCATCTGTGCCTTGAAGTAGCATTTATGTGTTTTTTTTTTTTTTTTGCTGTTTTCTGTTTACCTCCCACAGCAATGCAGGTTCAAACGCACCCTGCCCCCTTCCATCAGCCTGGAAACTAAACTCCATCTGCCCCCCTCCCCACCTCCTTAAATCTTCTTAGGAATGAGCCCCAACATCCCCACTGCCTGCTGGATGTGAAGCCCAGACTGACTTATACATGACAAACTGACAGGAAGTGCAGAGGAGGATACAAAGCCTCACAGCACCTTATTCTCCCGCTGTAGCGTTCTTCATCAGTTCAAATCTCAGCGTCAGCCCCAGATGAGGAGGACCTTTTTATTTAGAATGATGAAGGTGCGTCCGGCCCCTGCTGCCATCCTGCTCTTCTCTCCAACTTCCTCCCATTTCAGAGACATGAGGCACCTTTTGGGGCGGACTAGTCGGAGAGGAAGGAACACGGATGGAGACCAGCAGCAGTGTGGGATTTTGTACCATGACACACATGGGGAAACGGACTGTCGCGGAGCTCTTGTGAATACAGCATGAAAGGACGGATGTGAAGAGGGGATTTTTAGCAAATCATTTTCCTTTTTTAACTCGATCCAGTAGTTAAAACCCACCCCTATGCCTCTCCTCTCCTGTAGGACAATATAATTAATAAAAAATGGACAAGACAAAAAAAATATTAAAACAACAATGACCAAAAAATAAAGTTTTCAACTCAACTTCAAAGCCTTGTTTGTTTAATTTATTGAAACATGAATTGTGTTTGGCAGTTACAGTTCTGCTCTGCACTGCAGGAAGCCACTCTAATGAGACACAGACATTTAATTTTCATTAGACAATAACAAGAGCACATTTAATTTGAAGCTCGATAATTCACTGTCATTATGTCAGGCTGACAAAACGACATAATTGCCTCTCAGGGGATTCTTTGTCTTCTCTTCACTTTCTCATTAGCTGGGATTTGTTCCACTCAGTGGTGTAATTCTGCATGTTAATTTAAAATGGTCACTAGGGGGACTCCTCTTTATACATCTGCCTCATGAGGCACACTTGTTCTGGCAGATGAGACTCTTCTTTGGGTGAGTAAGGCACTCCGCTTCCCCTTCAGGCAGAATGACACCCCCCAGTGTGGCTCGGTGTCAGCGCTCTGGTTCGATGAACGGCCGAGCGCCACCCAGCTGTCCGTCGACGTGTCAGTGTGTGTGGCCTCGTTCCCCCTCAGTGCGGGACGTCAGGACACAGTCAGTGCAGCAGGGTCTGCTCCTCAGTGGGACAGGGCGTAGAGCTGCTCCCCGCTGCGCTCCAGCCGGTCCCGGTACTCCAGGTTGCAGTAGTTGCCCTCGGGGACCCCCTGGGTGCCGTACAGGAGACCCCAGCAGCAGCCGGCGATCACTGCGGTGCTGTCACTGTCGCCTGGGCCGGAAGGAAACCATAGAGGCAATGTTACTTAATTTAGCATAATAGGAAGTTCTAATTTATGCTAATGACATGTTTAGCATGCCAATTTAATGACTGACATGGCATATATACAATATACTTTTTACCTTTACACTATACTTTAAAAAAACAATCTATTAACTTTCATTCTCTATGGCAAAAATATTTATACTATAGTATGAGGTCTTTTTTTAATGGCTTGTGATACTCTGAATTTTCTTTTTAGTCATGCTATATGACTTTTAATGGCAGACTATATGACATTTTATATGATATATGACTAATTTATTCATGCCATGACTTTTGGAAATTGGTATACACGATATATACACACTGCTATAACACTTTTATGTCAATCTGTTATAAAAACTAAATGTTGCATTTTTCCATTACATTTGTTCAGCCATACACTGAGACTTCATGCAAGAGAAGAGAATGGAAACATTTTAAAATGTCAAATTATTAAGTAAAGAGAAGCGATGCTGCGATTATCAGGCTGAGCTAGAAGTCTATGTTTAGGCGAAAAATAAGTATAGGTTTAAAGTTGAAAATGTCGAGGTTAAGGGTTTAAATGAGATGTTTGAAGCTTTGGTGAGATTATTAGAAGTTACTGCAATACTCCTCTCAGCCTCCAACATCATAAAGGCCCCCATTAAAATATCTCTGACCCCCATGGAAGCCGGCTCTGCTCATCAGCTCCTCCCAGTCGGCCCCCGCCCCCAGCAGGGCGTCCAGCGCGATCATCGGGGCGTCGTGTCCGCTGCGCCCCGCCCGGCCTGACAGGCTGAAGCTCTTGTAGTCCTCGTCTCTCTCTGCTGGGCCGTAGGAGGAGGGCCAGATCACAGGCCCCACCCCACAGGAGATGCCCCTGGTGTCCAGGTACCTGAGGACGGAGGTAAGAGATAGTCCTGACATCCACACTGTGCTCAAATGTAATGATTTTCTGAAGTGGCCCTATTATGTTTTTGGGGGTTTCCCTTTACCGTAGTAGTGTGTTATATAGGTTTTTGTGCATGTAAATGGTCTACAAAGCCTAAAATCTCAAAGTTCCCTCCAGAGGGAGCTTCTCTTCCACACACCTGCCTGAAACGCCTCCATTTGACTCCTATGTTTATCTCTGTACCATAATGACATCACTATGTAACACTTGAGCATCTATTGGCTAGTGCTCCAACATCTCTATGTGGTTGACCAATCACAACAGAGCCGGCCAGCTAACCAATCAGAGCAGACTGGGCTCTGGTTTCAGACAGAGGGTGAAAAGAGGGGCCGCAGCACAGGCAGTATGAGACAAATAAAGAGCTTTTTGAACATTAAAGCATGTCAAAAGAGGCATAAAGCGCAAAATGAACCTGAAAATGAGAATGATAGGGCCCTTTAAATTATGAAAAATAAATATATGGACTTTATATTGTCCTCAGGAGCACTACATTACAATAAAAAGAGCTCAGTGCTGCTGAACTGAACCTGACCAATAACATTTCAGTACAAATATCACGCCATCATCTATTAACCTTAAGGCTTTAAAAGGTTAAGGGAGAGTTGATGATGTTGAATACAGCATGACAGCTTAATCTCAGCAGCTCATACCACTGCCACTTGTCACAGAAGAAGTCCCAGTCCCTCTCCGTCTCCTCCACAGCGAAGCCCCGACCCTGAACAAAGCACTTTGCTATTGGACAGGCCTCGTTGAGCAGGCCCAGACCCCAGGTCGTGATTGGCCTGCGCTGCACGGCGTACGCTGTAAAAAGAGCCGACGCTACGGCCCCCAGGAAACCTGTCGGGTGAGGGTGGGTCATCCTGCCCGTCTCCACAGCAACCGCCACCAACGACAACAGCTGGTCCGGCTTTGGATACCTCGGGGGGGACAAAGTATTTAAGTCATTATCAGCATTTATTAGGCAGGATATGTAGCTGCAGGGTTCTACTTAATGAGGTCCATCACACAGCAGAGTGTTTTCTGCATTTATATTCTGTGTGGATACTGTTTATAGTAATTACTTCTTTGCATGCTTTAATGGACTCCACGTCTTGTTTTTTTTAACCTGGAAATCTGTAAATTATTTATTTTCTGCTCAGTGATCAAAGAATGTATACTTATTCCACTGTTGCATTTATCATAAATTGTTTTCAGGAAAAGAGCAGAGGCTGTGTGCCTTAAATGTCAAGTTATCTCTTGTCCTTGGGTGACCAGACCAAATGGCGCTGTGACTGTCCATAATTCTACATCACTTAAATGTGTTCCTATTATTGTGCCTCATCATCCGAAGCAAAGACAGAGAAACACTAACTCGTCGTTTTCTTGTTTTTACAAAACATCCAATGGATTCCTAATAAAGATGTATCTACAAGCGTGATGAGATTAGAGCTAAGTGGATTCATTGAAAAACACAATTAATCAGAACTGTTTGGTTGTTTTGCTTTAATGATTTTTTGAGAAGAGAATGTCAAAACCTCTGATTCTCTCTTCCCCAACCTCAAGATTTTAGCTTTTTCAGGGATCTTGGAAACCTATGGATATGAAAAATCTATGGATATTTTTCTGCAGTTTACAGACTTAGCAACAGTAGATTAATAAAGGGGATTTTTGTATCAGCTTATCATTAGTTTCCTCATTATTTCCTGAGATACTATTAGATGTTGTAGATTTTACAATCAAGAGTGAGGACACATACCTCAGTTATTTTGGACTCTGACCTTAACTTTGAAAGTCACGGCCGTAACCTCAGTAGGGCAACTCTTTCTCACTTCAAAAACATATCAAGAGTCTTTATATATCAAGCTGATTCTCATCAGCTAGGACAGGGGTGTCAAACTCAAATACACAGTGGGCCAAAATAAAAAAATCGGTACTAGTCGAGGGCTGGACTGGTTCAATGTTTATTTCAAAACGTATTGAAATGAACTTATTTCACATATTAAACCTGGAACTAACAAAGCTTAAATTATTGCATTGCATATAAAAACAACATTAAACATTAAATAAATGAAGAATCCGTTGCATTCATTTCTTATGGCTCTATCTGCAGATTTTCCAGAGTCATTTCTTATGATTACATTTTTCCACAGGCCAACAACTGCTTCAAAAAAACTATTTCCCTCAAAGAAAAACCCAAACATGCCCTGTTGTCGCAAGAAAAAAAGTGCAAAAAGGAAACCATTTAAACTCAGTTTGCTGCTCGGTGATGCTAGTTTAAGCCAGATACTTGGCATCTCATCTTGGGTGCAAGTTCATCAATGAGTGATTGAGTGAAGGTGTGCGTGCAATATACCGGTGGGCCAGATCTAATAGTAATTCGAAATGATCCTGCGGGCCGAAATTAAATCCACCACGGGCCGTATTTGGCCCGCGGGCCTTGAGTTTGACATGTATGAGCTAGGACTACGGTAATGCTCTCCTCCCTCTTGCAGCTGATAATAAATCACCATTATTGTGCCACATTGGACAGAAAACAGTCGTTTCTGTCTGTGTCTGAGCGGTGAGTCTGGATTCTTTAATGTCTTTGCGTGGATAAGTGTTTCATCCATTTTATCATTCATATTTTATTTGGGGGTTTAGAAAATCATAGCCACAAGTATAGACATGTCACAAAACAGTAAAGCTACATACAATATATAGCTATTTAATATACAATTATTGGACAAAGGAAATCGATACATTGGAATGGAAATTAAGATGAAGAAAATCGATTTTACAAATGAATTTTAATGAAGAGCACATTGATTTTACTTGTAAATAAATGGTCAGTTGAGATAACTGCAAACAAATCAACCTTTGTGGATTTCAGACAAGAAAATTAAACCCAGTCCTAAAACAGGGGCCTTTATTTGCAGGAACAGATGCCATTAAGAAATATAAATTAATAATGAAGTGGCACTTAAATGGAAATCAATTTGAAACATGGATTTGATTTCCTCTACTTTTCCCTCTGTAAGTCATTAGGATGCTCGGGAAAACAACACTGCAGAGTAATTGACAATTAGAAAATAATAACCCAGCCATGCATACGAATCAGACTGAGTTATTATGTTTTTATTGTGAGGATGAGTGTCCTACCTGAGGCCGATGCACATGGACCTCATGGCGGCTCCACAGCCTGTCCCCTCTGGGTTATAGTTCACTCTGAAGCCCCCCTCCTCTCCGGGCTTCAGCTGGGAGACTCCTAATAGAGCAGAGAAGAAGTCAGATCTCTGCAATCACTTCTAATAAATGTGGTCTGATTTCAAAATGAAGACATTGTCTCACCCAGGATGCTTGAAGGCCCTGGCTTCCTCCCCTCCATGTCCTTCATCCCCTCCACATATCGTGCCGCCACATCATGCAACAGGTCCTCCCCAACCTTGCCTGAGAGGGAGACGAGCGTTAACTTCTGCAGATGCTTTCCTCATAAACTTTTTAAAGATGTTAACATGGCTGCCCTATTGCAGAAAAAGGTCAAGTAGACATTTCCTTCCACTTGTGCAGAGCCGTAATAGAGCAGCAAATCAAGGAGAGACTGGAAATTAGATTTAGCCTTTAGTCATGAGGGGGGAGGGGTGTGGTGTGATTTCCAATGAGGCCTCAACAGAACACTTTCGACTATCAGATCGATCCATTTAACGCCTCATTGGAAACAAAACAAGCAAAGGACAGACAGACAGGAGGGATAATGTTATTGCGCCTCACCAGTTGCCAGTCCTTCGGCCGTCGCTAGATGAAGGACTGTGTCGTCGCTCACCGGCCAATCAGGGAGCTCGGCCTTGATGTTCTTCAGACCACCGAGCTCCTTCAGCTCCTGCAGGGAAGGAACACAACAGAGGGTTATTATACCTTTAGCAGTGGTTAGGCAGTTTCTCTTCAGCACTTCTTTCGATGTTCTTTCTGCAATCACCTGATGAATAGCCGGTCCCGACTCATTGTACTCCCACAGCTGGTTCCTGTATCCCAGAGCATCACCAGCTCCACTCAGCAGCATGGCTGCCTTATAGTGCTCCACTGTAGCAGATCTGAGGGGGCAAGAGACTCAATTAACGCTCTGTTAACAACTGACTGCCATTATTCAATGTAAACCTGAGCCGTAGGACAACATAAGATGACGAAGCAACTCAAGGAGATATTTGAGCTTTTTTTGTTTTATACTATATCTTTTTTTATGAAAATGTTAAAATACAATACTATGCTGTTTTTTGTTTTACGATGTTGTTTTTATTTAGTTTATTTTATGGAAATAGTATAGTATGTTGTTCTTTCTGATATTTCTTGCCATACTTTACTATAACTTTTTTGTTAATATTTTCAACATACTATAACATTTATTTTCGACATACTATACATTTTTTCATATACATTATGTTTTTTCTCAAATTTAAACGAAATATTCAAGATATGCTGTTGTTGATACTATAATCTCTTCCTATCTTTTGACATAAACTATTGCTTTTTTTTCACAATGTTCTACATACTATAGCCTACTATGACTTTTTTTTGTTGATTATTTTGACCATACAGAGAGCCACCTCCTCCAAGCCAACCAACAATAATGAGTCGTAAAGCCGGGATGATGACATAAAGTGACGACTAACATCTCTAACTGGCTGGTGTCTTTACTTGATATGCAGCAGCGTTGTCTATAAGCGAAGCATGCAATAAACGTATTTTTTGTAAAGATATACACTTATGCCTGGCACATCACGTAAAATCGTTGGCCTAGCCTATATTATAACCGTATATTCAAACATATAGGCCTAAACATCTCATCTTGAACGTTAAGAATACTGTGGCTTGATATGAGAGTCATTCCTTATTAATATATTTCACATGCTGCTGCAGGAAACCCCTCCCCCGAGCAGTGGAAGTCTCACCGTCCCATTGCAGCGCGTCGATCCGCAGTATCAGGCATCACTAGCGGTCACACAGAGCACCTGACACCGGGGCTTAGCCTGGAGCTCTGCACACTGCTCACCCTCTCCTTGTGTGTGGCCAATATTACTCAGACTCAGCTCGGAAAGGCCTGTAGCAAACAACCGCTTTATTCGCTAGAGTTATTGTATGTTAGTTTCCAAACCCTGGTCGAAAGGTTGGACTCGCAGAAAACGTCGAGGCTAAAAAAAGGCGCAGCTGCAAAGCTATTTTAAAGGGCTGCTTTCCAGCTGGCAAGATGGACACATAAAACAAATGGCAATCGTCTCTGTAACAGCAGAGTAACATTGACTGGTTTACACAGCTGCACCTCATAGATTTTCATTCATTTTAATCTATGTAGCAAGCTGCATAAATGTAACGATTTCCCCGAGAAACACGCCTTTGTCATTGTTTTGGGTCTAAAAAAATAATGATTGAACACATGTTTAGAAGTAACTTTTTATAAACCAATTCTCATGCATGTCCAAATATATTTGAGTATTGACCAAATACACACTTAATGTTCACTTTGTCTTACAATTACAGAGTTTGCATATTAGTGCCATATATATATATTTTTTTTTTCAGTAGCTTTTATATCATGTGACTAAATGACTCCAAATCACTAAACTGAATATTAAGGACACTTCTCTTTTTGTATAGGATTTTGATGTTTTTATGAATGCTGAAATAATGACAATTAAAAACGGTGGATTTCTGTCACAAAATGTCATAGAATGAAAACTAAATGCAACTAGAGAATGCAATTCCTGAAGAAATTGCTAGTGGGAATGCTTTATGCTGAAAAGCTGACGCTAAACTGCTATGCTGAAATGTAATGTGTAAGAAGAAAGTGAAGAATTTAGATTGAAATGATACATGAACACTGGGGGCTTGAATGTGTGATGAGAGAAGAAAAGAAAGTAAAAACGCTTGGAAAAGCAGTAGAATATTTGAACTGCAAACTTTTGAACTAACTTGATGGCGAATGATCTGTCGCCATGCCAACGGCATTTGATGACATCCCATAATACGCTTAGATGCGTTGATGGCTGCATCGTTACCAAACCTGTGAAGTTTTGGGCCGTTTGGAGCATTTTCACTGAAGTTATGAGAAAACCGTGTTTCATGGCGAGCATTGTGTTGCCATGGCAACGGCATTTGAAGAAATCTCAAAACTGTCCCGTAGATGTCTTCACGGCTGGACTGTTGGCACACGTGAAGTTTGAGCACTTTTTGAAAATGTTCATAGGAGTTATAGCGACATCGTCTTTTATGGCGAGGGATGCGTTTCCATGGCAACGGCATATGATGAAACCCCATTATTGACGTAGAGCTGTTGAGGGCTGGACCGTTAACCATTATCTGAAGTGTGGCGCTGTTTTGACCCTTTTCATAGGCGTTACGACAACATCGTGTTTTATGGCGAGGGATATGGTGAGATGTCAGATTTGACGTAGAGCAGTTGAGGCATGGAGAGGTGATATACAGGTGAAGATTGTGGGACGACCGGACCGTGTCCATTGGAGCTACAGCGACATCGTCTTTTATGGCGAGGGATGCGTTTCCATGGCAACAGCCTATGGTGAGATCTCAGATTTGGCGTAAAGCTGTTGAGGCATGGACCGGTGATATGCAAGCGAAGTTTGGGGGACAATCGGACCGTGTCCATTGGAGTTACAGCGACATCGTGGCGAGGGATGCGTTGCCTTGGAAACGGCATATGATGACACCCCATAATTGACGTAGAGCTGTTGAGGGCAGGACCATTAACCATTATCTGAAATCTGCTGCTCTGAGCATGTCAGTTGGAGTTATGACATAATCGTGTTCCATGACACAGGTGTTTATATTTGAGCTAACGACGTGTCCAGAGATCAAAGATTTCCATGGTGATGTGCAGTAATCAGTGAGAGGAGAGCATTTTAATTGTTCTGAATGAGAGATAAACCTCTTAAATGTGAACGTTTTGTTGAAGAACCGTAACAGATATCGGTGAAATTTCAAAGCGTGAAGCATGTCAAGGAACTTGAGCATCTGAAGTGTACTTTTTGTGTACTTTACTTTCGGGTTAATAATGTGGCCTTTTTGGCAGATTAACTAAAGGTGTGCGGCTGCTGTGGTGGGGAAAGATGAGGCTGAACTTACAATGGGGTTTAATGGAGACATGTTGAAAGTTTTTGTCACTTCATGCACTCAAGAGGCATTTTGTTTAATTATTTTGCTTAATTTATTTTTATTTTTCAAGCGACGAGATGTTTTCCTACGTTTCTCATGAAAAATTATGTCTCAGGAATGTAGGGTTTGGGAATTATGGCAGGTTTAAAAGAAAAATATAAAGGCAAAATGAAATCTGTCCTCCACTCTAGCTGTGACATCACACACTCTAAAATCTGAAGAAGGCCTCTTTACCAAGGTCTGAACAATGTTTAATATCTCTAAAAGTATGAATCAGATTTAAAAGTTGTGTTACACGAATAATGTCAGAAAGATGTGTAACATTTTAAAGTTGGAATGAGGTTTCTGTATGAAGGAGCAGTTAGCAGTTGAAGTTGCATGAAGATTGTTCAAGTCTGAAGAGTTTCTCCATTGACTTCCATGTTAAAAATGTGATGAATTATGGGATGTATCTCTGGAATTATGAAAGTTATGAACAAGAAAAGTAATGGCCATCGATTCCCGACCGAGCTGAACGGAGTTTCTGTGATGTGGAATGTGGGAGAAGAAGAGGTGCAAAATAACCCGGTGGAATAATAAAGAATTTTGTGCGTAGCATAACAGCTAGTTGGAATGCGGTATCCTACTCCCCTCAATGTGCAGGGTTGGAAGAAGTATTCAGATCCCTTACTTAAGTGAAATGACTAATAATATGGTCTTAAAAGCCCTGATTTCAAATGTGTACTTAAGTGAAAGTAAAAAAGTATTAGTGCAAAATGTACTCATTCTGCATAATATAAAGTACTGAAGTATTATCAGCCAAATGTACTATGAAAAGTAAAAGTACTCATTATGCAGGATGGATCTTTTCATTGCATTATATCATTATGGTTCAAATTTGGTCCTGTTTTTATTAATCTAAGCATTTTAGTATTGTAGTTGTTCAATGTGGACCACATTTAGATACTTTAAATACTTTGTAGATTAGTAGTGCAGCACTGCATTATACCACAGCAGCATATCATGTGTTTTTTGGGGACAAAGTCACTTTGAAAGGACTAATAAGTACATTATATGCCTTTGGAATGCAGCCGAATAGAAGTATAAAGCAGCATCAAATGGAAATACTCCAGTAAAGTACAATTATGTCAGGTACAGTACTTGAGTAAATGTACTTAGTTACTTTCCACCACTGTTTATGTGTACTTTGGATGTTTTCAGTGCATTACAAAGAGTGGTTTGCCTATAGTTTCTCACCTTAAGAGATACAACCAAAGACATTCATTGGTTTTATTAAATCGAGAGTCACTGATCACATCCAAAAACTACATCTCAGCCTCCAGGTGCTGAACAGGATGTTCCGATTGCACAGAAAGACGGCATCTGTTTTTTATTCCCTTGACAACCAGAAGTGATCTTAGCATGTTTGACACACTTAAGCTATCACATCTGGGTTGATGTTTGTGCAGCAGGGTGGCGGTGGCAGAATAAAGAGTCCCTCGATCCACCAGAGGATTGTCTCCAAGCTGCAGTCTCTGTCAGAAAGCATCCATCCTGCAAACACGTCCTTTAATGAGACACAGCATCTGTCTTTGACCCAGTGCTCTGGTGCTGAAAGGAGAAAAATAAAGAGAAATCACTTCCAATAAAGCATTATTGGAGCCTTTCCCTCCACAGGGTGGCATGGTTTCACTACAACACACTTACAGCGGCCTGGAAAACACACTTGGTGATTGACACAGGCAGCTGGTGGATCCCGATGCCAGACAGTGATTCCCCACGGCTGATGCACCCGGTCAGTCTTCGCTACCAGACGATTATCATAAAAGAGGACGTGAAGATTGTTGGGGGGAGCCGAGGTTTCAGCAGAGAGGCCGTCTGGAGGCTATTTGTCACATGAGTTGTCAGGGGCCATAAAGCAGGGATGGAGAAAGGCACAATGAGAAATAAGAATAAATGGTCCATGTGAGGACTCTGGTGGAGCCTACAGGTTCAGACTCTGTCACTATTGTTGCAGCTGAGGGACCTGCTGCCTTTTAAGCATGTGTGTTTGAGTACAAAACAGGATAATAAAACATATGAGTGCGTTAGTAATGATGGTTGGATGCTGACTGAAAATCTCAAAAAAGCCAAATTGATAAACTGCACACAACACACATTTAAACAACATTTGTTGTATAATCAAGAGTTACATAAGGAGATTAATAACCTCTTGTTTCTGTCAAATAGTTAGCTTAGCATTAAGACCGGATTTTACAAAACATATTCTTTCAACTGGTGTGTCATTCAAACACGAATTGGATTCGTTTTTGCTGCACTTGAGAACAGCAGTGCTATTATGAGTGGTTATGGATTAATTTTGATAAAAGACTTTTACTCTTAAGACCTGCATGAATTATGAATGGATGGTTTTTCTTTCTTCCTGAAAGTGCTTCGAAGACAGCTGGAAAAAGGGGATAATGAAGAAGCCCATTATGCACTGCAGACAAACCAAACAGCATCAAAGATATCTTCCACTTGCGTCTATACTAATTATCAAGCCAGGGACATTTCTTCTCATGTGATTATAATGTTTTTTAAATTGCCCCCTTTGGCATAGTTGAGCTCCAGTGAGCAGCGCAGCTTCTCCACTTGGGTGGTTGGGTCAGGGCTGCTTGGCGACAGGCAGAAGGTGCAGGAAGCCTGACTAAGCCCGACAAACTTGCTCCCAGGTTGCCTCTTAGGGATGAGGGATGGAGCAGAAGAGTATATCACATTTGTGTGATGTGTTGGCAGCCATTTCTGCCCCAAAAGAGGATGATCGATGCAGCTTTGCAACCAAATCAAACTCCCTTCCTCCCCAGTGGATTAGACAATACCTGTCCACACACATTTACAAATTCCTCCAACATGATACATTTATCAGTGTGAAAGTGTTTGATTAGAAACATCCAGCCTTTCTCACAAAGGTGTAGCAGAGTGCTCAGGATGGGATTTATAAATTACTATACGTTTTTTATTCCAGGAGAGCTAAAATGATTAACAAACTCTTTAATTCAGCTACAATGATAATGCTTAGCTGTTTAAGCAATTTTTTTACATGAAAATCCAACTTCCAATGTGAGGTTT